TTGAATTTTTGGATGTAGAGACTAATTTTTAAAAATATGATAACTTACAAGGACCTATGTGCAATTTTCAGAAATTTAATTAATTTTAATTGAGTACATGTGTCAAATCCGTTATTTACAAAAACTTTCTAAAAGTACAAATAATAAAAATATTAAAGTGAAAACAAAAATATTAAATTGAAATAAAATAAAATATTAAAATAATACAAAAAATAATATAATATAATAAATCAAATATTGAATTAATAGATAATTTTAATATTAAAAATAATATAAAATACTAAAATAGTAGTTTACATATTGCACCTTAATGACGGACAAATTGCACTTTTGTGCATTTGAGATTGCACTTTAACGTAACATATGTAACAATCGGAATGAATTTGAATATATTCGGTACATATCGGTACATATGTTACGTTAAAATATTGAATTAATATATGATTTTAATAATAAAAATAATATAAAATACTAAAATAGTACTTTACATATTGCACCTTAATGATGGATATATTGCACTTTTGTGCATTTGAGATTGCACGTTAACGTGACATATGTACCGATCGAAATGAATTGTATCGATCGTAACATATGCACTTTCGAAATGCACTTTAACATATATTCGGTACATATGTTACGTTAAAATATTGAATTAATAGATAATTTTAATAATAAAAATAATATAAAATACTAAAATAGTACTTTGCATATGGTACTTTAATGACGGACATATTGCACTTTTGTGCATTGGAGATTGTATTTTAACATAACATATGTACCGATCAAAATGAATTAGAATATATAAATATATATAGCACATTATATTTCGTTTATATAATATATTATTTTTTAATTAAATTTGACGTAATATGAAATATTAAATACTAGACATTACTTTTTTTTTTTACCGGAACGATAGAAGGATCTATTAACTGAAAAGAACCAAGATACAAAGTTTAGATACACAAAGAGCAAACATGAGAGGCACATCTAAAGATGGCCTAGAGCCTCAACAATAACCAACCTAGAACATAAAGAAAACCAGGAAAAACAAAGGAGAAGCAAATCAACCACTGCCTAAAAGCCTAGTCAAATGCTAATCCAAGAAAGCAAAAAACAGAAACCCAAACAAAGAAGAACAAGAACTAAAAAAACTAAGCAGCAGCCTGGAAGTCCCTCCAATCAGACATTGCTGCTTGAATGACAATGTGAGGAGGGGGTATTGAGTGCTGAAAGATCCAGTGATTCCTTGTCTTCCAGAGCCACCAAAGGAGGTAAGTGGACAACTGGATCCTCTCTTCAGCTAAGTCTGAGTGATCAATGCTGCAAATGGCTTGCCACCATGATCTGAATGAGTTTCTGCACTGAGAGAGGCCTGGCCATGAAACTGGTGCAAGATTCCAGACTGTACAAGCTCTAGAGCATTGAAGGAGTGCATGCTCAACTGTTTCAGGGGCTTCTCCACAACATCTACAAATCACATCAATGTCCAATCCTCTTTTATTCAAATTGACAAGAACAGGTAAAGCTCCAGTTAGACATTTCCATATAAAGATTTTAATTTTTGAGAGAACTTTCAAAGACCAAGTTCTTTTGAGAGTTAGGGGCCATGGATTAGGAGATGAGCTGCTTTCTGGCATATCCAAAACTCTGACTTTCTGAGCAATCAAGGCAGCATATGTGTTGGCTACTGAAAATCTCCCTTTCTTGTCCAAGGCCCAGTAATGTTTGTCAGGCAAGTCAGCTCTCAAGGTTTTGATTTTCAAAATTGCAGCACTGTCTGATTCATTAAAAATTTGTTTCACTAGCCATTCATTCCAGTGAGAGCCATCAGTCTGCATCAAATCCTTAACAAAAATGAGGTGATCCCTAGCAATTTCAAGCATTTCTGGGGCAGGTTTCAATAAGGTAGGAACCCAATTGCAGTAAGAAATTCTAGTGGAAGCTCCATTTCTAATCTCAGTTTTCAGCCATTTAGTAAAGGAAGGTAAAACATCCAGCCAGCAATTCCATAGCCAAGAGCTTCTGTTGGATTTAGTAGCTTGAAATATAGAGGAATTGGGAAAGTACCTTTCCTTTAGAACTCTGCTTACAAGAAGGTTTGGCTGGCTTGTGATTCTCCAGAGTTGTTTGCAGATAAGAGCTTCATTGAAGAGTTTGATATCTAAGAGGCCTAGACCTCCATTCAGCTTGGGAATAGTAACTTTGTCCCAACTCTTCCAATGTATGCCTCTGGATTCTTCAGAATTAGAGCACCACCAGAACCTTGCACACAAACTAGAAATAGCAGAGCAGATGGAAGCAGGCAACTTGAAGCAGGACATGGTAAAAATAGGCAAGGCTTGCAGCACTGCTTTCATCAACACTAATTTACCAGCAGAAGATAAGAGTTTGGCCTTCCAGCTTTGCAGTTTGCCCTGAATTGCTTCCAGAAGATATGCAAAAACTTCTTTTTTTGATCTCCCAATGCCAAGGGGAAGTCCAAGATATCTTGTGGACCTGTGAGATTGAATGCCTTGAAGAGCAGAGCAGACATTGGATTGGATTATCATGGGAGTGTTTCTGCTGAAGAATATAGCAGATTTTTGCAGGTTAACAGGTTGTCCAGTGAATAGTTTGTATCTGCTCAAAATGTCCATAAGGATATGTGCTTGATCAACTCCAGCCTTACAGAATAGTAGAGAATCATCGGCAAACAACAGATGGGAGATGGCAGGGCCATTTTGAGACAGTTTTAGCTCTTTAAGATTACCAGAAGAACAAGCTTCCAAGATCAAAGCAGTGAGGAGTTCTGAAATGATTAAAAACAAATAAGGGGAGATAGGATCCCCTTGCCTGACTCCTCTGGAGGGTTTAATGTACCCACTGACTTCACCATTGATTTTAAATGAGATAGATGTAGTAGTGATGCAAGCCATGATTAGTTTAACAAAGTCAGCATGAAACCCCATTTGAATCATTATCTTTTTGATACTAAGCCGTTCAACCCTGTCAAATGCTTTCACTAGATCAAGCTTAAGAGCCATAAAGAAATTTTTGCCAGAAGAGTGCCTGTTGAGAAAATGAAAAGCTTCCTGTGCCACAATAACATTATCCAGTAATTGCCTCCCTTTAATGAATGCAGACTGTTGATCACTAATGCAATCCTTCAGACAAGATTGTAATCTCAAAGCTAGGATTTTAGATATTACCTTGTAAACAACCGAGCACAGACTGATTGGCCTAAATTGGCTTAAAGAGTCAGGAGATGCACACTTGGGAATTAGGGACAGGATTGTATGGTTCCAATATTGTAGAAGTTGCCCTGAGCTAAAAAAACTGATCACTGCTGCTACCAAGTCATCATGAATTAAAGACCAGAGATGTTGATAAAAGAAGGCACTCATCCCTTCTTCACCTGGAGACTTATCTGGGGGGAGGCTGAAAAGAGCTGTTTTCACTTCTTCTTCCTCAACTGGTAGCATAAGAGAGGTATTCATATCAGAGGTGATTGATCTAGGGATCAGATGAAGAACAGAGTCACCTCCCCAGGAGCCTTCAGAACAGAACAGATTAGAGTAAAAATCAGAGATGTGGGATTGAATTGCAGACTGGGATGTGAGCTCTTCACCTCTAGAAGACACTAATCTGGATATTGCATTCTTCCTCCTTCTCTGTAAAGTGTAGGCATGAAAAAATTTGGAGTTAGAATCTCCATGTTTGAGCCAATTCAATCTCACCTTCTGGTTCCAGTAAAGCTCTTCTTGGTGATGGGCCTTTTGAAGATCAATTCTGGTGTTGTTCCAGTCATCCCAGTTGTTGGCTATGTTCTGAGCTCTCAGATCTTCCAGCTTCTGAGTGAGAGATGCTATGATAAGCTGATTTTGAGTATGAAATTCGGAGCTCCAGATTAAGAGTGCAGTTCTGGTGTTTTTTACTTTTTCTTTGAGTTTAAAAAAGGGTGTGCCTGAAACTGGAATCCTCCAAGCAGCAGATACAACCTCCAAGAATCCTTCCTTGCCCACTCAACGTTTGTCAAAATGAAATCTTTTTGGTTTTCTGTCTTTTTGATAGCCAGCATCCACCAAGAGAATAGAGTGATCAGAGGAACTAGTAGCTTTGTTCAAAACTGTGGCATTAGGAAATGCTTGATGCCAATCTATGGAGCCAAAAGCTCTGTCTAGCCTTTCCTCAACTAGGCCTTCAGTTGTTCTGTTGTTACACCAAGTAAACTGATGTCCCAGCATTTTAATTTCCTCCATATCCATGTTCCTGATGAAAGAGTTAAAGCCCAAGAAGCTGCCATAGGGTCTAGGATTACCTCCCATTTTCTCCACATTGGAACAGAGATCATTCCAATCTCCAGATACAAACCATAGGTCTCCCCAACCAGTCTTTGCAGCTTCAAGATCAGCCCATTGAGATGCCCTAACAGATTTGTTGGTACTGAGATACACGAATATTCCCCATTGAGGTTCAGAATTTGCAAGTTGGAAGTGGATAGCAATGTAAAAAGAAGTAGACTGAATGTGAAGAATAGAGACAGATGGTTCCCATAATAATAAGAGACCTCCCCCTTGACCTTGAGGATCCACCAAGGAAAATCGATCCTCAAAGCCTAATTTTTTACAGATGGTTTTAACAAAAGCATTTGGTTTTTTTGTTTCTGACAGAAAAATAAAAACTGGGTGATGAGATCTAATAATCCCTCTGATTTGGGAAACCGTAGAGGGCCCACCCAGCCCTCTACAGTTCCACACCGCAGCTAACATTGGGAACTCGGGTGCCAATCGAGGCTGGCCACCACCACCTTATCAGATGAAGCTTTTGACTTTTTCATGGCTGAACCCTGAGAATTCTGCTCCTCATCCTTCATTGATTCATAGGGTTGATCTGGTTTGTCTCTCTTGCCTATCAACAATTTGTTTGTCTGTGAGGGGTTATCAATAAGCCTCTGCAGCCTGCCTATCTTATTCCCCGTTCTTTTCCAGGTTGTTATTTTGCCTTTGCCTCTGTCAGACCCCTGGGAATGGGGAGCCACAAGAGTAGATAATGGTCCAGATTCAAGGTCCGTAGCCTTAACTTGCTCCTCATTAGCAGATATTGGCTTTGACACCTCTGGTGATTTGTGCTTTGCGATGGGAGAGCCAGTAGATGAGCCCATTACAGATGACTTAATAGTAGGAGTGGAATCTGCTGCGTGTATGATGATTTGATTCCTGGGAGTTGATTGTCCGGCTGTCTCAGGATTCTGAGACGATTGTCCAGGAGAGGAGGGTTGCTGAGAATTGCGGGGACTTTGAGGTGGGCTTCTGGACCCAGAATTATGGTGATAATTACCGGTCCATAATTGTCCTTCAGGGACCTTAAGCCAATCGCCATATTGGCCTTCTTTGAGATTTCCTGACTTAATGTCATCAACTTTCTTTAAGCATCCTTTCTCTAGATGCCCAATGTGTCCGCAGTAGTGACACAGATTCCTTAGTTTTTCATATTTGAAACTAATAGTAACCACATCCTCACCAAGTCTAACTTTGGAGCATCTGGGAATTGGTTCGGTTAAGTCCAATGTAACCAGCAGACGTAGAAATTTCCCACCGTGATTGCCAAAGCTCGTAATAACCACATTGTCTACGCCTTTGAAGACTTTCCCAATTTTAATCCCGACCTCTGTGCTAAGCCAGTTCAACAGTATGTTAGCTACCTGGACCCATATGTTAAGTTCTTGGAAGCAGTGATGTTTGCTGTTTAGGCCTTTCCTCCATTCGCGCAGAATCAGGTACTGGTTCTCAAAGGTCCAGTTAGTGCCATAGCTTACCCTTCTGAGATCCTCCATGCTTTGAAAGATGAATTGGAAGTAGTTGGTTTCGAGTTCCTTGACCTCCATCGGTTGAGAGAGACGCCATATTTGGTTCATGGAGCGCTTAATTCCAATCCAGCTGGCAGGTCTGTCGCCTATAATTTTCCCGAATAAACTGCGGTGACATTCGTCGGCACTGACACGGATATCTTCATTAGCAATATCTACTAGTAACTCTTCTCTTTCAGACAAGGAGAAATTTCCCATCCTCTGCGACAGGTCCTCGTCGTGGTGGGAGCTCGAAGCGCTAGCCATGGTGGATTGTAAGAAAAACCCCAAATTAACGCTAATTAGGGTTACCGCAAAAACTGCGAAAAAAACGAGGGCTGGGATCGCGAAAAAACGAGATGAGAGGGGGAGGAAACAAGACAAGAAATGAGATCTGGTTCTGGAAAAACTAAGAAGAAGAATCAAGGATCAAAGCTCCCAACTGGAAGAATTCGGAATCGCTCCCAACTGGAAGAATCGTTTAACCAATAATACTAGACATTACTTAATAATGAATAATATAATTTATTTAAGTTATTTGGTTAGTTCAGTTAAAAATCATATATATTATTTAGATTAATTAGATTAATCGGTCGATTAAACTGGTTATTTCATATTGGTTCTAACTTGGAAGTGAAACAAATCATTGCACAATAGTGATAGATGAATTGCACATTCAACACTATCGGAATGCACATTAAAGACATAAACCGTCCAATTTCAAATTCTCTGCTCAAAATTTTATTTTTTGATTAAATATCCATTTTTAATCTTAAATCACGACTATTTCAATTCGTTCCATCTTTAGTTTTTAAAAATAACCAAAAAATCCGGCACAATCAAACAATACGAAAAATACTATTTTTATTAATTTAATTTTTTTATGTATAGCATGTGCACATTAGGGTTGTACGAATTGCACATTAGTGACTATTAGATTGCACAATATCTAACGAAACCGCCCGGGCTAATTTTTTCAATTTGAAATTTCAAATTTTGGTTCAATTTTCTTTCATTATTATAAAAAAACTCGGTTATTTCGTTTTTTACGTCAGTTTTTTTTTTAAACTTACATAACCGAAATAACCGGACGTATTAAAAATTGTATTAAAAATATTATTATCATTTTTTTATATTTTTATGCAATATATTTTTTATTCTCAAATATTAAATAAACAATATAAAAAAAATATTAATTATAGTTTGATTAATTATAAATTTGACCCAAGAACTAAATTGTAATATATCAAAATATCAAAAATTGCAATCCAAACCCTAGAATTTATCAAATATACAAAATGAATCCTTTCATTTCAAATCTGCAATTCTCGTCTCTGCAAGTCTCATCTCCTACGCAAGTCTTCTCCGCCGCCGCTGCCGACCGCCGTGACCTGAGGTTCGACGCAATGTCCGGCTACCATCGTCAGGTCCGGAGGTCCGACGCAATATCCGACAACGTTGTTTTCCGCATTTACAGAGGTTAAATAACTCGCGATAGGTCTGAATGACGAGTGTTACGTCGGAATAGTCGGTAAAGTCCGACTGATGCCGGCGATGAGCTGAGACTTCCGCGTGGCTCGTCATGGCGAACAGCGGAAGGTGAACCTGGTTGTCTGACGGAGGTCTGACGGAGGTCCGACAGAGGTCGATGGCTGTTTCGGGTGGTCCGGAGGGGGTAGGTGATGTTAAGATACGAAGCGGCGGCGAGGCAGAGGAAACCGACGTGTGTGTCGAAGAGAGTGCCATCGTCTGAGAAATACAACGGGATGGTGCGAGAGGGCGGCAGCGGGCGGAGAAGGGTTGCAACGAGCAGCAGAGGGCTGAAGTGGGCGACAGAGGGATGCAGTGGGCGGCGAATGGCTGCATCGGGCGGTTGCGGACGGCGGCGGGAGGCGTCAAGCGGCGGCGGGCAGTGGCTATTGGCAGTCGGAGACGATGCAAGTGGACAGACGTGGGGGATGTGCGTATTGGTAAGTGAAAGAGAAAGGGAATTTGGTTGTTGGTGGTGGGATCCACACCTAATTTAGTTGAGTATGTAATTACTATTTTGTCCTTATGAAGTGTATAATTGACTACGAAAAATACTCTTATTTACCGATTGCCATTACTTGTTTGACTTACATATTTAAATTTGACTAGATGATAACCATTGATATGTTGTATCCAATGGTACAAATTAAGTCTCATTTCT